ATATCTCATAATTAGTCTTTTACTATCCAAATATATAATCTTTTCTTGAACCAAAAATTATTACTAATATTTATTTTAAAGTATAGCCGATTTTTATTTTTAATTGACAAAGGGCAAGGGTGATTGGAAGAGACAGAGCAAGAGACACACAGAAAGAGAGAGAACAGCTCCCAATGGGGCTTGGTTACACCGTAATCCCTTCTCTCTTTCTCCATCCTGCTGGATTTGGTGTGCACATTCACATGAGCCTGCTGTGTTTTCCAAGCAACTAGGGCCGGAATTTAAACCTTGGTTGGCCATGTGGACTCTGGTGCCATTAACTACCAGGCCACAGAGCCAGCCCAGGTATAGCCAAATTTTGACCCTCCCATTTTTCATATGGTTGCTGACGAGATGCTGTCAGAAGTGGGAAATATGGCTCTTGACTGTCACTTCTGAACTCGACACAAAGAGATCTAGGACTGTTTTTTTGAGCACAAGTGTTATAAGACTAATTTACCTAGCGTCACCTGAGCTCTCCTAATTAACAGCTGCAGAACATGTTTAAATTCCCCTGAAACTGCCATGGTAGCAGTCACATAGCTGGCTCACTTCTGTTTCCTACTATGGAAGATAAAAGCATACATTTAAAGCTCTTAAGGATGACAGATGCAGGTATGAATGAATCCAATGTAAACGCTTACCTTCTCACTTTCAGTATCCAGAGCTGACGTAGCTTCATCCAGAAGCAAAATATGAGGCTGTCTAACCAGGGCACGAGCGATGGCGATGCGTTGCTTCTGGCCGCCAGAGAGCTGAGTTCCTTTGTCCCCTACTCTGGTGTTGTATTTCTGTAAACAGGGTTTCCTTATTATTAGCATAGAATTGATAATAAGGTTGTAACAGTTTGCTCATGGAGAATAAGATAACCACTTCCATACAAACAAATAAAAATTAGGTTCAGAAGCTAAGGGTGGATTCATAGGGAGTGAAATAAGCAACAGAAAATGAGCTTTAAATGGTAGGTTTAATCTCTCTTCTTGAAAACAAGCATTTGGGCCTTAAAATGAAATGTTTTAGTGTAAACAAGCCCTCGTTTCTGCAAGGAAAAATACTGTTGCAATGTTAGTATTGCCTATCTTCTGGTTTCATTATATTTGGGACAAAGAGTGGGGAAAAAGGAAATCTGATTTGAACAGGCAGTGGAGCTCATCTTGTTCATAACCAGTAGATGACGCTCTCTGCACGATTTTTAAAGTGAGGAAAGAAAAACTCTTGGAATGTCAGCCTTCTATTATAGTATCTGTTTTCTTTTTAAAACTATCTCCAATGTTTAAGCAATTTTAATGGACATTAAGAAATTCCATTTTGATATCTAACTTGGAAAACAGGAATCTCTTTTTAAATACATGTATGTTCAAGATTCTTCACACAGTTTCTCACGGTAGATGATTATCACTAACTACTCAATATGATGCTAGGGACAGGTGAAAGGGTGTGTAGAAGAGAACAGAAGCAGGATGTTACAGCATGTGTAACCTAGAAAGCAATACTTTGGTATTATTTTCAAGACTTCGCTAGGCTAAGACTTTGGTTAAACTGTGGTCTCTGATTCTAACACCCAGAGTTGACTCTAAAATTCACGTTCTATACAGAGTTGCCTATTCTCACTTGCCGTATCTGGCAAGCCGGGTTCTGTGGTGCTCAGATGAAGGTCTCCCCTGGGATGGGGTGAGAAGCCTGCAGGTGAGGTCTTAGCAGATGCTCAGGATGGGATCCGCCCCAGGGCTGGGCTGCCTCAGAAGGCAGGAGCACTGAAGAAAGTCTCCTGTGAGTTTGGGGCTGTCAAGATGCCCTGACAGGAAAAAGAAAAAAAATGTTCAATATAATTAAGCACCAGAGAACTATAAATCAAAACCACAGTGAGACATCATCTCACCCCAGTTAGAATGGGTATTATTAAAAAGGCAAAAGCTCTGGTCTGGCCATGGTGGCACACCACTCTGTAATGCTGGAACTGCATGGAAGACCAGGATTCAGATCACAGCCCACCTGAAACATGTCAGGCCCGGACACACGTACACATCCATTACTCTGGCTGGCTGGAGGGTGGGGGTGAGGGATCATAGAGCGAGAAGAACTTATCAAGAATGTTTGTCTCCCTTTTTCTCATTCATGAAAAGAAAATTAATGTAAGAAAAAAGCCAAAAAAATAACAAATGCTGGCAAGCAAATGGAAAAAGGAAAGCTCTTTTACAGTGTTGGTAAGAATGTAAATTAGTATAGCCATTATGGAAAATAATATGGAGGTTCCTCAAACAACTAAAACTAGAAATTCTGTGTGATCCACTAATCCACCTACTAAGTATACATATCCAAAGGAGAAGAGATCAGTATGTTGTAGAGAAATCTGTACTCTAACGGGCCCAATGTGGGTCCATCCAGTTGCATTACCAGTACACCATTGACTAGCCCTTACAACTCTCTTAATTGATTTCCTAAAATTGGAATTACTATCTCAAGGATATACACTCTAAACACTTTTCATACACATTGTCAAATAATAAAGAGACTTATACCAATGACCAAGTCAACTAATAGGATTGTCACACTATTAGATATTCCTTTTTTCTTGGAGAGATTTTTGCTATAGGGCGCGTGTGCTTGTCAGAAAGACTTAGAGAGACAGAGAGACAGAAAGTGAGAAATCACCCCCCAGGGAGGATGGCCACATCGTGATCCCTTCTCCTTCATTCTCCTCTTGGGATCTTGGGCACACAGGCACACACGCCCAGCATGAGTTTAAGCCACCAGGTCCAGGACTTGAACTACAGTCAACTACATGGGAGACCAGCGACATAGCCATTATGCCAACTGCTGGTCCCTATATATTACTTGTTTTATAATTCATCATTACTATGCAAAACAGGTAATTTAAAAAATCTACTTTTATTTAAATTTTACTTTTTTTTTCCTCATGTATTAATTCTTTGGGAATTATCTGATCATAACCTTTGAGCATATTTTCTTGAAGATGATGCCTTTTCTTTTTCAGAAGTTCTTTATATTAAAGACACTCATTGCTTATAACATGACAAATGGCCACCAGATTGTGATTTTCAATTTAGTTCATGCTGTTTTTTTGTTAATTTTAAAAATGTGTAGCTAGAGTAGCAGTCTTTTTGATATTTTATTTTCTATTTTCATCATGAAGTATTTAATTATAACACATTTTAAACAAACATTTTAAGCAAATCAGAAGGATCGACATTGGAAGAGACCCATTACTGGGAGAAGTGATTCATTTTTAAGACTAAAAAGAGTAATTGTATATTTAAAAGTGCATAAATATTAAAATCCTTGAAAAATGTGTTATAATTTTAGTTTTATTATGATAAAGCACCTTAACATCAAATATTTAATGTACATCAGAGCAATATACACTTCATAACTGCACCTCACTCTGCCTCTCAAAATTTTGTATTGATCCATGCTATTGGTTTGAAAGCCAGCATAATGCAATAATGCAAGAACCAGCAGGATCAAGTCCAAAAAAATGAAGCCAAATGATCCAGTAAGACTCTACATGGAAAGACATAGAGACTCAGAATTATTTAAATGGTTTAACCATTCTTAAAAAATGAATGATGTTTTCAAAGGAGCCTTTTCATTTTTGGTAATTACTACAGGGTAAGTACACTTGCCAGAGACAGAAGGAGAGGTAGAGAGGGAGAGAGGGAGAGGGAGAAAACGTTTCCCAGTAGGGAATTTCTCCATCTTGTCAGGATTTAATGCACACGCCCTTACACAGTAATCTTTTCAAATGACCAGGGCCAAGACTTGAACTGCAGTTGGCCATGTGGGATCTGGCAACAGGGCCAGATCAAAGCTTTTTTTTTTTTTCTAATTAACATTTTTGCCATAGGGTGCATGCACTCACTCACTGGAGAGACAGAGAGATAGAAAGAAGGAAAGTAAGAAATCACTCCCCAGGGAGGATGGCCATGCTGTAATACCTTCTCCTCCATTCTCTTCCTGGAATTTTGGGCATGCATGTACACATGCCCAGCATTAGTTTCAAGCCAATGATCTTCCATGTGAGAATCCAGGGAGTCTAGAGTGTCCAGCTACTGGCCCCTAAGCCTTTTTTAAAGGAAAAAATATCTACAGTATCCCAATATCTGCAGGCATTCTGACAAGATTGACTCCAGACACATGAACATTTAGTTTTATTATAGGCAGTTTATGTGAACATTTCAATATTTTCTACTACTTCTACAATCTTTTAGCAAGGCAGTCAGTTATCAGTCCAAATAAGAAAATATAAACAAAATTATATACTTTTTTTTAAAAAAAAAATCTACTTTGAATTTTTAAATAAATTTTGTAATGTAATTAAAACCATTATTTTCTCCATTTCAGATTTTTCTTTCTGTTCCTTTCATTATGAAGTCTCTGAACTCACTGGAATGATCTTCATTTGTGACAGGAAATGTTAAGCAAATAACTCTACATAATCCAGTAAGTGCTTGCTTTTTAACTTTGATTAAATGCCTTTTTTTTAAGCACAAATATTAAAAATAGTTAATAGTCATATGGGCACAGTTCAGTGGCGCCTGGCTCCACTCTGGACACTGACCATTGAAAAATAGATGCCCTTCTGCGCCAGCAGCTGTTCGTGTGTGCCGTGCTCCTTGATTCTGCCGTTCTGAAACACCACTATCAAGTCCGCGTTCTGGATGGTGGACAGGCGGTGAGCGATCACAATGCAGGTGCGGCCTTCTCTGGCTTTGTCCAGGGCTTCTTGGACAACCTGGTCAAAAATCACGTATGTTAGTTCAGATAATAATAGTGCTCCCTTGAATTCCTCTTCCAAAAACAAGCCCTCAAGTTATTTCTCCAACAATACATTCTTCTTTAACAATAGTGCCAGGGATACAAAACATCGATTTTTAGAAACAAGGAATTTATTGGGCCAGTCCATGCCTGATGGGTAAAAAAGCTGGATCCTACGTGGTTGTAATGTCATTAAAAATAATGTTGTTAATGACAATACAAAATTTATTTTAAAATTCAAAGTAGATTTTAAAAAAATAAAGTATATAATTTTGTTTATATTTTCTCATTTGGGCTGATAACTGTTAATAAAAACGTTTTAATGTGGAAAAAAAGTTATACAATCTACTCAATAATTTAAAATCACTTACTAATGCGCCTAGCCATACAACACCTCTTGAACAGCTCTGTAGCAAACTACAGGAAGCCTGAGCAAAGGCCAGACACAACCTCCTTGAATTTTAGTACTTTTAAGATAGAAAATAGTTCATAAGAGATATCTCATAATTAGTCTTTTACTATCCAAATGTATAATCTTTTCTTGAACCAAAAATTATTATTACTAATATTTATTTTAAAGGATAACCAGATTTTTAATTTTAATCGACAAAGGGCAAGTTTTGGAAGAGACAGAACAAGAGACACACACAGAAAGAAAGAGAACAGCTCCCAATGGGGCGTGGTTTTACCACGATCCCTTCTCTATTTTTCCATCTTGCTGTGTTTTCCAAGCCACCAGGGCCAGAATTTGAACACCTGTGGAATCTGGTGCCATTAACTACCAGGCCACAGAGCCAGCCCAGGTATAGCCAAATTTTGACCCTCCCATTTTTCATATGGTTGCTGACGAGATGCTGTCAGAAGTGGGAAATATGGCTCTTGACTGTCACTTCTGAACTCGACACAAAGAGATCTAGGACTGTTTTTTTGAGCACAAGTGTTATAAGACTAATTTACCTAGCGTCACCTGAGCTCTCCTAATTAACAGCTGCAGAACATGTTTAAATTCCCCTGAAACTGCCATGGTAGCAGTCACATAGCTGGCTCACTTCTGTTTCCTACTATGGAAGATAAAAGCATACATTTAAAGCTCTTAAGGATGACAGATGCAGGTATGAATGAATCCAATGTAAACGCTTACCTTCTCACTTTCAGTATCCAGAGCTGACGTAGCTTCATCCAGAAGCAAAATATGAGGCTGTCTAACCAGGGCACGAGCGATGGCGATGCGTTGCTTCTGGCCGCCAGAGAGCTGAGTTCCTTTGTCCCCTACTCTGGTGTTGTATTTCTGTAAACAGGGTTTCGTTATTATGAGCGTAGAATTGATAGTGAAGTTGTAACAGTTTGCTCATGGAGAATAAGATAACCACTTCCATACAAAAAAAAAAAAAAAAAATTAGGTTCAGAAGCTAAGGGCGGATTCATAGGGAGTGAAATAAGCCACATAAAATGAGCTTTAATTGGTAGGTTTAATCTCTCTTCTTGAAAACAAGCATTTGGGCCTTAAAGTGAAATGTTTTAGTGTAAACAAGCCCTCGTTTCTGCAAGGAAAAAATACTGTTGAAATGTTAGTATTGCCTATCTTCTGGTTTCAATATATTTGAGACAAAGAGAGTGGGGAAAAAGGAAGTCTGAATTGAACAGGCAGTGGAGCTCATCTTGTTCATAACCAGTAGATGACACTCTCTGCACGATTTTGAAGTCAGGAAAGAAAAATTCTTGGAATGTCAGCCTTCTATTATAGTATCTGTTTTCTTTTTAAAACTATCTCCAATGTTTAAGCAATTTTAATGGACATTAAGAAATTCCATTTTGATATCTAACTTGGAAAACAGGAATCTCTTTTTAAATACATGTATGTTCAAGATTCTTCACACAGTTTCTCACGGTAGATGATTATCACTAACTACTCAATATGATGCTAGGGACAGGTGAAAGGGTGTGTAGAAGAGAACAGAAGCAGGATGTTACAGCATGTGTAACCTAGAAAGCAATACTTTGGTATTATTTTCAAGACTTCGCTAGGCTAAGACTTTGGTTAAACTGTGGTCTCTGATTCTAACACCCAGAGTTGACTCTAAAATTCACGTTCTATACAGAGTTGCCTATTCTCACTTGCCGTATCTGGCAAGCCGGGTTCTGTGGTGCTCAGATGAAGGTCTCCCCTGGGATGGGGTGAGAAGCCTGCAGGTGAGGTCTTAGCAGATGCTCAGGATGGGATCCGCCCCAGGGCTGGGCTGCCTCAGAAGGCAGGAGCACTGAAGAAAGTCTCCTGTGAGTTTGGGGCTGTCAAGATGCCCTGACAGGGCATCCATGCTATTGAGGCAGATAAAGGCAGTGCTGTAACCTGGAGGAAGGACGTAACTAAACCAGCCTCTTGCAGTTAAGGGGAATCACCCAAGAGAAGAAGCAGATCCTTAAATAAAAGGACTTGGGGTAGGGGTGGGGGGTTTGGTTTCTCTCTTCTGGTATAGACACTGAGGAAAAGGATGGTGATGTCCACAGGTGTGCTCTGGGTGACAGATGTAAAGACCGGGAACCCTGAAGAGTAGGATCCCTGCGACAGACAAATGCCAGAGAGGCAGGATATATTTTATAAGCTGGAGAGTAGTTGCCCTATGTTTGTGTTTTCTTAAATGCTAACCCAGTGGTTTCTCCAACTGTAGCCAGCATTTGTATTACCTGGGTTATTAACATGCAGCTTGCTGGACTCTACTTCCAGTTTCTGATTCGGCAGGTCTAGGGTGCAGCCTGAAAAATTTGCATTTGTAACAAGTTCCCAGGTGATGCCGATCCATGCCCAAACTTTGAGAGCTACTGACCTCTCATTAGGAAAGAGAATTTGCAGTTTTATGTTTTCAATGTTCGACTTTTGGTTGGGCTAGATTGTTAAAAGAGAGAAGGGGGACAATGCCTCCTTCCTGGGGTCTGTGCTTGGTAGTAGCAGTTGTCTGAGGGAGAGCCTAAAGACAAGGTGAAGGCCACTTAGTATTGCCATCCTTCCCATGAGGACACTGCTTTGCCCATTAGTTTGAGACTATAGAGTTTTATTTGTTTGAAGGCACCTCCTCACAATAAGGGACATGCTTTGTGGTAATGGGAGGGGCTAGGTTAGCTAGGCCAAGATAAAATAAATACAGAATAAAAAATACAGAATCTAAGGGGATTTAAGAGAAGATGATCAGTTTCACTTATCTAATTCCTAGAAGAAATTCTGAGGACACCCACAGACAATGGCCCAGGGAAGATCTCCACAATCAACCCTGTAAGTGGAGCCTAGGCCCCTGCAATGTACAATAAGGAGAGATTACAGGGTAACATGGTCACCCCAATGGCTCAGCCCTATCCAGAGAAAACCTACATTTTGGTGTGGGTCCAGCTTGCTGGCCTGGCCTGCCTCAAGAGTGAGGTTGGAAGCTGCAAGGAGGCAGAAAAAACAAGATGGGAAAGAGGGACAAACACACATGCGCTTGCTTCTTTGGCAGGACCAGAAGCAACATGTGCCCCAGACGCTACCCACGGGCCCTGAACTTGGCTCTTGAAGGGAATGGCCTCTCAGACATCGTACTTACCCCTTGGGCTGAAGAAGCCAGAGCCTCAAGCCTAGAAGCTTTGGCTCTGGAGAGCTGTTCCAGTTCACCTACCCTCGGAAAGTTCTACTCCCGTGAACCTCCTTCAGTCTAACGCTTTCATCCCTTCTTCACAAGGTGTGTCAGGTGAGCCTAACACCTAACTGGAACTGCTGGGGATGTGTTCTGCTTGTTAATTTCTTTTCACTATTAGGAAACCAGCCCTTTAAAATTCAAACTATAGCCCAAGGAGTCAGCCACATGCCCTGGACTTTTAATGTGAAGAGAGACTCACATCAGGCAGTGAGTCAATGAAGGAATGGATGTTGGCCTCTTTGGCTGCCTTCACAATCTCTTCCTGTGACACGAACCGGCTGTTGTCTCCGTAGGCGATGTTCTCAGCAATGCTGCAGTCAAACAGGATGGGCTCCTGCGACACAATTCCAAGTTGCGCTCGGAGCCACTGGACGTTCAGATTCTTTATTTCCTCTCCATCGATTTTCTGAAAATGAGTTCAGAGATCAAGTTCAGGCCTGGCACAATCTGAATATAGCAAAACTAACATCCTTATCTCATGCATTAAAATTGCTGAGGGGAACAGCAGACGGTGTAATGGTTACATAGCTGGACTCCCAGTGGTCCACTGTGGTTCAAGTCCTAGACCCGGCGAGTTAATATTCATGCCAGGCACACGTACATGTGTGCCCAAGATCCCAAGAAGAGAATGGAGGAGAAGGGACTGAGACACGGCCATCCCCCTGGGGGGTGATTTCTTGCTTTCTGTCTCTGTCCCTCTGGAGATGGTATGTGCACTCTAGCAAAAATCTCTCTCTCAAAAAACAAAAAACAAAAACAAAAAACCATATATATATATAAACAAACTTCTAAAAGTTACTGTGAGATTAAGAAAAAGAGTTTTGGTTTTGCTCTGCTTTTAGTCTGGGTGGTCAAGGTTATCAAACTAGGCCATAATTGTACACTCTGAGGAATTCTAAATTTGCATGTAGTGGGTAAAACAATGCCCTCCTCGCCCCAGAGATCCATAGCCTGATCCCTGGATCCTGCGAATAGATGACCTTACATGGCAAGGAGAAATGAAAGTAGTAGACAGAATTAATGTTGCTAAATTAATTTCCTGACCTTAAAATGAAGAGATCTTCCTGGATTACCTTGTTGGGCCCAGGGAATCACACAGGCTCTAAGTGTAGGAGTGGAAGGCAGGACGGTGAGGACCAGAGGGTGCAGTATGAGAACGCCCTGACCAGACATTGCTGGCTTTGAAGATGGCAAAGGGACCACAGTATAGAAGAGGCAAGGAAATGTCCTTGGGGACTTCCAGAAGGAATATAGCCACACTAGCATCTTGACTTTAGCCTGGTGAAACTGACCTGTTGGACTTCTGACCTCTAAAACTGTAAGATAAGAAGTCTGTGTGTTATAAGTAAGCCACGACATTTGTGGTAATTGCCTACAGCTGCTACCAAAAACTAACAGAATGCCTCATACTTCTGAGATGTATCCCAGCATCCTTAACCTTACATCCCAGGACAGATTAGAGTGGACATAAAGAAGAATAATCGCATAGACCGAGGATTAAATAAAAGCATGTATGGGGACCAGCAGTTAGCATAATGGCAATGTCGCTGGACTCCCACATAGTTGACTGCAGTTTGAGTCCCGAACCCAGTGGTTTAAACTCACACCGGGAACGTGTGCGTGTGTGCCCAAGATCCGGAGAGGAGACTAGAGGAGAAGGGATTTCGGTGTGGCCATTCCCCCTGGGGGAGGATTTCTCGCTCTCTGTCTCTCTGCCTCTATCTTTGTGACGAGTGTACAACCCCTATAGCAAAAACTTCTCCGAATAAATAAATAAATAAATAAATAAATAAATAAATAAATAAAGCAAGCATGTATGGCCCCCACTCAGCACAGCGCCGGGCACTGTCGGCAATTTTTAGTTGTGTGTGTGTGTGTGTGTGTGTGTGCTGCAACTAAGGGGGTGTATGAAAAATCACAAGCTGAAGGAGAGAGGAAAGAGAGGCTGCCCTTTCTCTAGTGACCTGGCTCCATAGATTGTTCTACAAAATTCTGGGAAGGGCCCCTCATGGCCTTGCTGATAAAAGCCTTGCTCTGATGCAGATACATCTCCCCAGAAGATCTGCTTTGCACAAAAACGTTCAGGCATTCCAGTGGGTGAGTTGTTTATCTCTTCTGAAAATGACACTAGTCACTCAGCTTTGGGTTATTCTAATAGTGCTGATGAGCATGTACTAAGCCCTAAACACTTTCTGTATCCCATGTGGCTGGCTGGATGCCCCTGGGAGGCAGCTGGCTAAGGACAAAGTACAATCTTTGCTGCAGGAACACAGTGTCTGCTCATGAAGCTTGCAGGTACAGGGGTGGAACGCACAGGAGTGGAAGGCAGGACGGTGAGGACCAGAGGGTGCAGTATGAGAACGCCCTGACCAGACATTGCTGGCTTTGAAGATGGCAAAGGGACCACAGTCTAGAAGAGGCAAGGAAATGGCCTTGGGGACTTCCAGAAGGAATATAGCCACACTAGCATCTTGACTTTAGCCTGGTGAAACTGACCTGTTGGACTTCTGACCTCTAAAACTGTAAGATAAGAAGTCTGTGTGTTGTAAGTAAGCCACGACATTTGTGGTAATTGCCTACAGCTGCTATCAAAAACTAACAGAATGCCTCATACGTCTGAGATGTATCCCAGCATCCTTAACCTTACATCTCAGGACAGATTAGAGTGGACATAAAGAAGAATAATCGCATAGACTGAGGATGAGGATTAAAGCAGGTATGGGGACCAGCAGTTGGTGTAATGGCTATGTCACTGGACTTCTATGTAGTCGACCATGGTTTGAGTCCCCGACCTGGTGGCTTAAATTCACACCAGGTGCGTGTGTGTGCATGCCCAAGATCCCAAGAAGAGAATGGAGGAGAAGGGATTGTGGTGTGGCCATCCCCCCGGAGGGTGATTTCTCACTTTCTGTCTCTGTCTTTCTCTGTCTTTGTGGCGAGTGTTTTCACCCTATAGCAAAAACCTCTCCAAATAAATAAATAAATAAAGCATGTATGGCCCCCATTCAGCACAGCGCCAGGCACTGTCGGCAATTTGTACTTGTGTGGGTGTGCTGCAACTAAGGGGGTGGATGGGTGTATAAAAAATAACGAGCTGAAGGAGAGAGGAAAGAGAGGCTGCCCTTTCTTTTTTCTTTGCATTTTATTTTTTTGTGAGAGGTTTTTGCTATTATAGGGCGCGTGGGCTCCCCAGACAGAGAGAAACAGAGACAGAAAGTGAGAAATCACCCCCCAGGGGATGGCCACACCGCAATCCCTTCTCCTCCATTCTCCTCTTGGGATCTTGGGCATGCACGCACACGCACCCAGCGTGAGTTTAAGCCACCATGTCTGGGATTCGAACCGCGTTCAGGTACATGGGAGTCCATTGACATAGTCATTACACTAACTGCTGGTCCCAAGGTTGCCCTTTCTCTACTGACCTGGCTCCATAGATTGTTCTACAAAATTCTGGGAAGGGCCCCTCATGGCCTTGCTGATAAAAGCCTTGCTCTGATGCAGATACATCTCCCCAGAAGATCTGCTTTGTATGAAAACGTTCAGGCATTCCAGTGGGTGAGTCGTTCATCTCTTCTGAAGATGACACTAGTCACTCAGCTTTGGGTTATTCTAATAGTGCTGATGAGCATGTACTAAGCCCTAAACACTTTCTGTATCCCATGTGGCTGGCTGGATGCCCCTGGGAGGCAGCTGGCTAAGGACAAAGTACAATCTTTGCTGCAGGAACACAGTGTCTGCTCATGAAGCTTGCAGGTACAGGGGTGGAACGCACAGCCATGACTATTAGTACCAAGCCCAGTTGCCATGGAGACATGCTAAGCATCTACGCTCTAGGCTCCTTCACAGCGCTAGTAAGTGAAGGTGGAAGGTAGAGGGTGGAGAAAGGTAGTAAAAACATGAGGACGTGGGTAAAGAGCAGATCTTACTAGATGGAACTAGAGGAAATTTGAGAAAAGTTTCTCCCCCAACCCCTGGGAGGAAAACAGACACTATTCAACAAAACCATGACGCAAATCTGAATGATCCCAACAAGTTTTAATAGGTTTCTTCACTATACTGAATACAATAACACTCTTGAGCCTCTTCATCCCCGCACAATACATTAGAATTGCAAACTATTTAAAATCTACATTAGCTGAAGAACCCTTCCTTTAAGAAAACATGTTTAGAAGCCCAGAGTGTAAAACAGAGCACAGCAGAACCTCTCTGGTAAAGCATGGCACTGATCTCAGGGAAGAATAAAGAACTCTGGGAGATGCATGAAAACAGCTCAAAATAATAAGTGTGTCAAAAGATCCAGGGATAAATAAAAACATAACTAAAATGTAAACATATGGTAAGGAATAATGTAAGGCCAAGTTAAAGTAAGCAGCTGTCTCTATGGTAGGTTGGTAAACGTACTGTGGTTTCCATTAGCCCCAATGATCAAATGTTAGCTATGTATTGTTCTATTCTGAAATAATAACAGATAAAAAGTCGACACTGAAGATATGGTAGGTTCTCTTCTAAGCATGCCTCACGCATCCTCTTGTTAAATCATTGTAACAATTCTTCTGAGGATGTTGTGATTTTAATCTCCATTTTATAGACATGGAAATGAGCTAAGTTGAGTAACTTGGACAAGGTTACACAGTCAGTTACGGGGAGATCCAGGATGGATAAAACACCATAGATAGAGTTAATAAGTGAAGGCAGAGGGCAGTGAGGGGGGAGGTAGAAGGTAAGTGTCTCACAATGGAAAGATATTTTCTGTCCTTCTTTAAAGGAGTGAGGCGCCCCCTTGGCCCGGACACCTACTAGTTATAACTAGAAAATGACAAGAAGCATTCCAAGTGAGTCCTATATGGGATAGAGGACCCTGCCTGTGGTATATGGAATAGACAGGAGAGGGGAACATGAAAAGAGCAGGGAAGACTCAAACCAGGGGTGAGATCTCAGGGAAGAATAAGGAACTCTGGGAGATGCATGGAAACTGCTCAAAATAATAAGTGTGTCAAAACATCCAGGGCTAGAGCACAACGCCTATGGCATTGTAAAAATGTAAAAGCAAAAACAAAAACAAACAAGATCCTGAGAGGAGAATGGAGGAAAAGGGATTGCGGCATAGCCATCCCACCGGGGGTTGATTTCTCGCTTTCTGACTCTCTGTCCCTTTCTGTCTGTCTGGCGAGCGCACGTGCCCTATAAGCAAAAACCTCTCAAAAAAAAAAAGATCCAGGGCTTGCACTTGGCCAACTACACGACTTGAGTCCTGGACCCATAAGTTTGGAAAACACACTAGGCAGGTGTTTGTGCATGGCCAAAATCCCAAGAGAGGAATGGAGGAGAGAGGGTTGTACCATGGCAAACCCCCCCAGGGGGCGATTTCTCACATCCACTGTTCCAACGAGCACACATGCCCTATAG